TGGTGGGAAGGTGGAGCTTTTCCTTACGCTCTGCACACCACAGCATTAATGTCCCCACTGACCACTTTGTACTTGCCCAGTGGTGACAATCCTTACTTGCCCTGCTTGTTTTCCACATAATTTATGGGCACTTTTTTCACTCAGCTTGTTTTTTTAGTTTCCATGGTTGCAGTTGGCTGCCTGCAGGATTTGAGGTGCTTTGGCTGGCAGAAAACAGAGTGAAGGGTGTTAGCGGGGAACTCTGGGTGCTGCATCCCAAAAGCTTTAGTGAGAGCCATGATGGCATCAGTGCCCCTTGCTGCATGTCCAGCTGGGCCTGTATCTCTCTATATAAGTTAGTCGTATGGCTGAAGAAGTCATGAAAATAAAATGTATAGAAAATGGAGAAAAAAACCAAATTGTGAGACTAAATCACAACAAATACTCTGAAAAAACAGTCTTAACTCTTGAATTGGGCTCCTTTCCTCTCTTGCTACCTCCTGTCTGGTCCTTCCTGCTGATGTCCCTCTCCCTTCATGTTCACAAGTTCCTGGGGAGGCTTATAGAAAGTAATCCTATCTTGTGACTTTTTAAGGGCTGCTGGCTAAAGTTGGGTTGGGTGTAATTAACCAAAGACTGTTACTGTGGCAGCTGCTGGCTGAGAGCTGAAAAACCCCTCCCAGTGCTGCTGTAGCAGGCTGTATGCTGATCCCTGACATTTGCACACCTTGCATTTAATTCAGCAGGGTGCTGTGAGACCCAGGGCGTTGATAAAGAACTGAGACAATAAGTGTGTGAGTAGCCTCAGCCTAGGCTGAGAGCTGTCAGTGGAGGTGCAGATCCCAGCAGGATACACTCTGCTGCTCTTTAGTGTGTAAGGAGCCCTCAGGAGAGAGCAGAAGTTCCAGCGTCAGGCACGGGCCTGCCTGGGCAGCCAGGACAAACTTGTAAAAACATTTGCTTTAATGTCAAGTTCTAAACTGTCATTGGGTGAGCATCTTCAGCTGTTGGTAAGATTTTTTTTTTCTGTTTAATTCCTATAGGGCCAGCTTTACATTTCCTGTGGAAATGACGGTAAGCTGCTTCAGCTGCCAGAGTAAATGTAAAAAGAATCTCTGGTGTTGCCTGAGATTTGAGGTACCACCTATGTTGGCAGGGAAGCTAGATGGTCATTGCCACTGTTTTGTAATGCTTCTCCTTGAGAAGAAGGGAAACCTCTTTGGTTTTCCCTAAATCTCAGTGGTGGAAATTTAAGTCACAATTATTTTTCCCCATGAATTAAAACACTTACTTACCACTCCAAAGGCTATGCTTGATGAATTCCCATCTCTTTTCCCACTGCATGATTTTGAGACTTCTCTGAGGAGTAACTTGCAGCTCTAAAGAGAGGGAAATATATTTGCTAATTCCTCTGTCCCACTTCGCTTAAACATTGTATCACCTGAGCTTTACATCCTACTAGTACTCCATGACCAAAATACCTCTGGGAAAAGGTTCTTTTCTCCAGTGCATTCATTTGCTCCACACTTCCTTCTTCAACAGATTCTGTTTCACCCAACCTTCACTTTGGGCATTCCTTCATTCCTGCATGCTCTTAATCCATGTGTGCACACCTGTACACCCACACGTGCATTTGTTTCTTCTTTGGTATGCACTGGGATTCCTTTTTTCATTCTTAAAAATAATGTTGGTGTGTTGGTGTGGAGGATGTGCATGGCATGGTGCCTGAGAGTCTGTACATTGTCTATGTGTGCCTTGATTTTCTTGTTTAAATTATTCTTTAGTGGCTACTAAGGAGCATAATTCTTGATAGATGAAATCAGATTTTTGGGCATCATGGGAAGTTCATTTTGCCTTGTGGAAACTTACAGTAATAATTAATGGCCAGGTTTTCCTCCAAGCGTATGCAAATCTTTTTGCAGTGACTGTAGTGTATTATAATCCAAATAATTACTTACTGAAGGTTTAATTCTGTCAACTGTAATCATTTGATCCTGGTTCAAGAAAAATAGTTAAGCCTATGATCAGCATTGATTCTTGAAAGTCCTGTCTGTTAGTTGCAGTTTCCTAATTAGATGTGTAAATCAGCAGAGAGATTTTGAGCCACTGAAGAGGAAACCAGTCTGGCTTGCTGTCTTTACCCTCTCTTTTGTAAAGGCTGCAGCCAGAGGGTGCTGATCCCTGAGCTCATCCTGTCTTGGACTCAGCAAAGCAGTCCAATACTGAACAGGGATTCTCATTTCAGTTTGAGATTTCCTTGGGGTTCTGAGCATTTCGTCTCATACAAAGGTTTCCTGCAGAAGCTGCAGAAGAGCCAGCTGCAGGGGAAAAAAGGGTGTTCCTGCTACAAATGTGGATGCAATAGCTGGAAGTTTGTTGGCAAAGCACCCATGAAGACGTGCCACAGCTGGGTGGGGTGGCAGCTCGTCCTTGCCATGCACTGGCTGCAGTGACTCAGGCATGTACTCTGCACTCAGTTGTAAGCCTGCAAGTAATATCCTGCTGCCAGCAGCCAGCTCCATCTGGTAATCTCAGCACTCTTGGAAAAGTGTCATTTCATCATATGTGGCTGCGCACTTGTTGCTGCCTTGGTTTTCTGCAGCTCTTTTTGTCTTTAGGACAGCCATCATCGATGGCATTTTTTTATCCTCATTTGTTTGCAAAAGTAAAAGTCAAATCCCTATTGCTCCCTCTCCAAAGGTAATTTAGTATCAAGAAACGATTACCAAAAAAGTGCATTGTGAAGTGTAATGATAAATTGGCCAAAGACTGTTGTGACAACTGCTTAACAGTCATTTGTTATTCCTCATCCTTCTTGCTGTATGATTTATCTCCCTGTTTTTGTGGGCTTGTTTGCTGCTTTTCTGTTTCCCATGCTATTACTTGCAGAAGCAAAGGACAGGAATGGTTTCATGTCACCAAGCCAGGAGGCTGTTCCTGTGATAGCAGAGGACTATTAGCCTCTCCTAAGCTAGCCCTGTGCACAGCTGTGTGCACAGAGGCTCTGTGGAAGGCATGTAGCCCTGTGCCAAATTTCTCTAAAAGAAACTACAGATTTTATTTTCAACTTCCTCCAGAATAGTCCAACATAAAGTAAATTCTCTATATAGTGCTATTACTCCTTTGTAGGAGAGAAGGAAGGAAGGAAAGAAAAGATGGAAAAGATGGTGACCATTTTCTGAGGCATGCAGTGGTCTGTGTTTTGTATGGATGGTGCACAAAAACATCTTCCCTGTCCAAGTCCTAACTACTGCACAGTTGTAATTTGAATTAGCAAGTGTTTACAAACAAGACTGCAGTCAGGTAGTTAAAAACCAGTACAACAGCTGGAGTTTCCCCCTGCTTGAGGTTGAGCTCTATCTGCTTGGCTCCCAAGTCAGGTTCCCAGTGTCCCTACTGAAACTGGGGATTGTGAGTGATAGTCACTGCTCTGCTGCAGCACTGGCGTCGCTGTAGCTATTCTGGTATGAAGTTGTGCACATGACATTTTGGAGAAGGAGGCTGGCTTCCTTTTTCATCACTAATTTTGGAGAAGGGACCTGCCTGCCTTTTTCCTCACTCCTGCCTTTTAAACACTCCATCACTTTAAGTGGTGTTCCACCCGTTAATGAGAACGAACACATGGAGTGTGTTTCTCTTTGTGGATACACAAACATGAATAAAACAAAGCATCTTTTCTCTGAACACTCCATTGCTCTTCTTTTGAAAGGGTCACTTGTTTGCTTCTCCACACTGGGCACAGCCACCAGCAGGAGATTGATTAAATGATGAGAGTAGGGCATGAGTGGTCCCTATCCAGTGGAGAGCAGACATTAAATGCCTGCTTTTTTCTTTGCTTTCTTTCCCCCCCCTCCCCCCCCCTTTTTTTTCTGCAAAGTATTATTTCTTGTGTTTCCACAAGTAATGGAAATCATCTGGAAAACAAAAACTCCCCAGGCTTTGGGGGAGTGCAAGTGCTTGCCTGGTGCCAACTTTGCTAAATCACATGAGCTCTGCTCTGATAAACAGTAACTTGTTTTCCATAAGGGAGATTTGTGACAGGTCAAACCATGATGATCAAACCATGTCCCTATGATACTACAGCCCTAGAAATAATTACAATAGTGACCCATATGAAATGGCTTTTATTCATAAAGCTCTTTGACTATGCTACATTGTAAAGAGGCTGTACAAGTTACAAGGAGAATGCAGTTGGCTCTTTTTCCGAAAGAAGTCGTTATTCTCTGAAAACTAAACTAGCCAAAAGGCACAACAAATGGTAGTCTTACACTACATACTTACTCCCATAAAGCACACAGCAATGCCATTAGCATAACTTAGATGAATGTGTTCAGGGGAAAAAAACCAGGCAATATTTCCCCCCATTGGTCTTTTGACATTGGCAAAAATGTTGGAAGTGTTGCTCTTAGAAGAAATGTTCATGGGAGAGCCATGTCCACTCTGTGTAGTTATTTGGTGAAATGACTGTCCTGTTGTAACATTTATGAAAGTCTGGTGGAAATCTATGTGTGTTGGGGGGGGTTGCTTTCACTATCAAAGCTTCAGAAAGAAAGTTGAACCCCTTCATCCTGTTTTACTGGAGGTACCTGAGGAGCCACTGATGCTCCATGTCCCAAAACCACTCTTCCTGGATGAGGTATGCTATGGGAGGAGTCACTTGGTGCCTCTGACTAGCCAGAGCAGAATTTGACCCTAAGGCTGCCCAATAGCTGCTCTTGCTGTCAAGGTCTTGATCTTAATTTGAAGTTCCTGAGCAGCTGGAGAGGTCCTGGGAGTAAATGGGAACGACAGTGTTATGCAAAATCTTGAACAAAGCATGTCACTGCACTGATGAGGGGGCCTGACACCCTTTGGAGGTGTCTGGGGCCACAATTTCTCTGCCAAAAATTGCAGGAGGAAATCCTTGTTTTCACAGATATAACTTGAACCCCTCCAAATAATTTGCAGTCTCAGAGGCAGAAGTGGCAGCACGCTGGGAAAACCTGCCCTTCCATCATTGCAAGGACTGCCAGGCTGCAAGAATGGTGTTTGAGGTCTTGTTACAACAGATATGTGAGCTGTAGGTTGTGCTTTTGGGAAGTTGTGGCAGGATGGAATGTATTGGCATTTGTTGCCTGAGGCCTGATCTGGTCACACTTTGTATCTGTTAGTTCCTGTTTGGCCAACCTGAGTTAAGTGCAAGTGAGAAAACAAAAAACTTACAGAAATAGGCCTAAAAGATAGGTGTTTTAATGTGCTGTCTCAACCCTTAGGAGACATCCTTAGATGTCTCCCAGATCCCTGTGGGAGTTAGAGCCTTTGGGTGCTGTGGGAACTCGGGACCCTCCTCCCCGCAGAACTGCTGTGCTTTGTCTGATCACTTAACCTGATAACTCTGGATACCATAACATCTTAAATGTGTGCTTTTCTTCCTGAACCTGTTTTCTTCTTTCTTTTTTTATTTTTTTAATCTTTTCAGGTTGCAATAACTTTTGCTTTGTTTTCCCAGGTGCTCAGATAAGCTGTTTTGCACCCAGCTCTTTCTCCTGGCGACAAGCTGCTTATGTGGACTCCTACTGCTGGGCAGCTGTGCAGCAGAGGCAACCATCCCACAACAACTTAGAAAACATACCCCTGTGGCTGCATAAAGTATGTATAGGTCTCCATCTCCTGGCAAAGTTATTCCCACATAGAAATCTACTTTTGCCTCACTTTTCTTGTTTCTCTGCTCTGTTGTAGTCCTTGCCTGTGACTTGACTCTCTATTTTTAGAATGTTTTCTTTCTCTTACTTCCAAAGACGGTAGTACTAGAGAACGTATTTTCTGCTTTTAAATAAAAGGTCACCAGTTATCTGACACAAGAGTAATGTTAGTGTTGCTGTGTTGCCCTGGAGTGAATGCTTTATTTTTTTTTTCACCTGGCTTTAGCCAGAAACCATTTTAAAGCTGGAATACAGGACACAACAACTGCCTTAATGCTTGTATCAAAAGCTTATTTTAGGAAAACAAGGTAATAAAAATGTTTTATATTTTTATTGTGTCACTCTTGGCCAGTTGTGCATGGAGAGAGTCTTGTGGCAGATAGACATTTTTTGAGAGATGAAATTAATCACTGGTACCAACAGGTTTCACCCCTGTCTTCAGCATGCTCTTCTGCATGTCTTCAGGCAAGCCATGAGCTTGCTTTCATTGCTTCAGGTAAGGCAGCATCATATAAAGCACAGAAAGAGATTTATTTTATGGGTTAGAAGTGCAGTAAGTTTTAAGATACTTGAGCTGGCTCAAAGCAGTTAGCTGAGGTTTGGCAGGAGTCACACACTGAGTTAATGCCATGCCAGTGCCTGGAGGTGACTCAGCTCAAGAGGCAGCTTTGGCCTGCTTGAGCAGTGCTGATGCCAAAGTAAGAAATGATTGTTGGGCTCTGCAAATTTGTGTTCTGCCTTCCTCAGCTCTTTTATTACTTGCCCCAGCAAATAAACCCCTGGCACCTAGAAGCAAAGGAGAACCTGGTGCTGGAGTAAGCTCAGGTATGGGACCTTGCAGCACCTGTATTTCTGGCTTTTAGTTCTGTATGCTGAGCCTCAGATTTTATTATACAGTCATCTGGTGGTATAGTCTCTGAGAGACTACTCAAGGCTGTCTCTGATTTGTTTGCTGACTCAAATCATTAATTGAGGATTTACTGTTGGCCTCTCCAGTTAGCTCCACTGATAATCCTGACCCAACAGGCATGTGTTTCATGAATATTAAAGCCAGACTTGTTTGTTGCTAGCTTGAACTCTTCCTTGCATGGTTAGGACTCCATTTCAGCCAGATCTTCTACAGCTGCCAGTCAAAGCTGCTGGGACATCTCACAGTGCCGGAAACTCCATCTGCAAACCTGGATATTTTGCTGCCCCTTTCTCCTGAGGGAACGAGCTCTTTTTGCCCAAGTTTGTCGTGTTGAATTTCATGTGATAGTCACCTGCTGATAGCAGTGAGTCCAGTTGTTTGCCAGCCACGAATAGCTTAAGCACTCATACTTTTATGATGCAACCTATGTCAATTTGCTGACTTGTGATGTATCAGAAATTGCTGCAGTTCCTCCATGACGTGTATGGTATGTGATGTTTCCTTGTGAATATCCTGCAGACTGTCTGCAGGAAGTGCATCTGCACAGCTGAGCCAGGGGCTGTAGCAGAGGCTGGTGACTCATCTTCCTAGATCCATCAATAGCCACCCACCTTCTGATCCAGACGCTGGGAGCTGCAGATGCTCTTTGGAGGTCAATATTATCTAATACACTTCTGGTTGTTCATCAGCCTCCATGTTTTACAAGTTTACAGGGAGTGGTGTTACAGCTGTTTAACAGTGAACTTTGATTCCCACTCAGGTATCTGGAGGCTGTTCCTTGCATCCAGGGCCAACAGCTGCTGAGTGGCTTGGGATCACTTCTGCAGGAAGGCTTGGGTTCTCCCCCAGACCCTGCACTACAGAGTATGCACAAGCTCATTGCTCTGCAGATTTTGGCTAGATAAATAATTTTTAAAATGGCTGGAGCAGAACCTTTTGGGAGCACAGTGATGTTAAGAAGAAAACGGAGACTTCCTGTGCTCGGGTTAGTGGAGACCTGACTCTGGTGCAAGGACAGAAGGACAGCAGGGCTCATTAAGCCCAGTTCTTCCTACAGCAGCACTTAAAACTTTTTTCCTGCTTTCTGGGAAGCAGAGCTTTTATTTGTAGGACATCTCAGGTTCTTTCCAAAACCCTGACTCACTTAGTATCTCACTCTACTGGCATGCTGGAAGGCTCCATAAAAAACACTTAAGGAGGCATTATATTAAGGTTTTTGGGGAATAAGATTGTAGGCCCCATTACTGATTCAAATGGATGGAATTCCTTCTGGCATGCTCTCTGTCAGAGGTACTGCCTCCTGGGGCAGTGCTCAGTGTGGTACAGAGGGGAAGTAGGAGCAGGTAGTTCTTTCAGGAAGAAGCCAACTTGTAGTAGCCTGCACTGCTTTTCTTCTCAGCATCTGGTTGCTCTGGAGGATTATCAAACCCAGGTTGCATTACAGAAAATCTGAAACTTCACCATCTCCCTCCAAGTTCAAGTTTCCTCTGGGATTTTTTGTTTTCTGAACAGTAAAATGTAAGTTTCAGTTCTGGGCACTCCCCAGAGGTTAGCACCTTTTCTGGTTGTCCTTTCTGCTCTAGGAGATCTCTCCTAGGGGTTGAAACTATCAGTTTGGAAACTGCAAAGGAGCATACCGCAAACTTCTAGGTTCCTTGACTCTCTAGTGGTCATTGTGCTCCTAGAGGGTGTCCAGGACCTCTCTCCCTGGAGAGCAGGAGGTCTGAAATTTCCAGTGATCCTGGAAGCTATTCACTCTGGATAACCCTTAGCAGGAAGCAAAATGAGTTGTGTACTAAAGTGCACAATTCAATGACCAAAATACCTGCAGATAGAAACTGTAAAAAAGAGACTGTGGGTAGGTCCTGCTTGCTTTCTTAGTTTAATGCTAAGATTTCCTCTTCTTTGTCAGTGAAAGAGCTGTCAAAATGATCATAATCATAATCATCAAAATGGTTGAGTCCTCTGACAAGAGTCCTCTTCAGGTTTGTCACTGATGAAACTTACTCTGGTCAGGTGTCACTATTTCATTGCCTCTCTTTTCTTATGGGATTTTTCCATTCAGGTGTAATTCCCTTAAGAGGTGTCTGGCTGAAGTGTCAGAACAGAGATGTTGGTTTCTAGAGGTGAGTGGTGAAGACACACAGTCAGTGGTGATGGGGGATGGAGGAGTTTTGTATTTGCCTGCCCTGTGCAGATAAACATGAACACTCCACCTGACCAAGTTACTTTGGTAAAACTTGTCTTGATCCTTAATTGGAAGGAGAAGAGAAGCTTTTGGCCATTGTGTGTGGGAGTCCTTACAATCTAGTGGAGAAGGAGAGAAGGAGACTACACCGTGAAGCCTTTTTAATCCATAGTGCACAGAGAAATTTATAAAAATTCAAGCAGAACAGTGAGCATCATCTTACTGGCTCTTGATAGCAACCAAGCAAGTTGAGGGGTGGTTGAACACATAGTGATGATCACTTTATAGCCCTGAAATTTGGATTGCTAGGATGGAGCTGCCTATGATCAAGAGTCTTGTAGGGATTTTTTAAAATTACTGTATTTTCTAGTCTGCTATTAAATGGGGAGAAGCAAAGAAGAGGTAAAGGGTTGTTGAGAACAAGTGGATTTGTACTTGTATGAAATGCAGGCAGACAATTCATCTGACTGAAAGAAGAGGTCTTCACATGTGGCACAGCCAGGAGAGGTCAGTTGTCTGGTTTAGGTATTTCAAAGTGCTTTGGGACCTGCTGAGAGCATTGCATACAGAGAGTGGGTCTGCAGTCTTTGTATGCTTGAAGTAAAATTATGTGAAAACCCTCACTTTTTGTAAAGGGAGTAAGATTTATCATGGACCCTTGAGTTGTTCTTTGAGTCACTTGTCTGTGAATACACCAAAACAAACCTTGGGGTTATTCATTATATTGACGGTACCGTTTTGATTGTGATTTTTGCGTGGTTCTAGTTACTCATTGTTTGTACAGTTTCTTAGTTGACAGAGGGTTCTTCTTGTTTCACCTGTAAACCCTTCCCAGAGATAGATTAAGGGCTGTCAGAGCAAAGAAACCCATGTGCAGATGCTTTTATAAATAATTCTTTGAAAGTGTAGTGCTAGAGCTACTTCAGTCTGTTGCAGATGGAGTCATCCACTCGTAAGAGGGAAGCAATAATGTGTTGATATAAAACAGTGAGTTAATACAGTTCAGTGGTAAATGTGACAGTGGTTTATCAAGATTCAGTGAGAAGAATACACTTCATTATTAGTGCATGGAGAATAGAATGAGAATTGTTAGGGAGATGCTCCTGTTGAGACATGAGGTTCAGAAGGGACTCCTTTGTATTCTAAACTTCTCAGAGGGGAGTTCAGGTGTGGCTAGGTTCAAACTTAGTCGCAGGCTTCTCAACAGTTTATGTCTAAAGGATTATATGTGCACTGTCAATCTTTTGTATCACTTAGCTAAGATTTCAAGCATGCTATTAATCATCTGTAGACATTGTGTTACAGCAAGGAATTTCTCAGCCTTGAGGAGTAACCTTGAGAGGTATCCCTGCTGCAGGGGAGAACCTGGCACGCAGTCTGTAGCCATGCAGGAAAGCTTCACAGGCCCTGGGCTGCCCACTGCTTGAGGAATGAGATGACTGACTTGCTGTACAGCAGCAAGAGGTCTGGGTCCCTGTTCCAAGCAGCCCTTGACTACCACGTTGCCATTTGTCCCCCAAAGTCCAGAACCAACTGGATACCACAGCCATCACAGCCTCCACTGATGATCATGGCTTGAGCTAATTGAAACTGGGAAGTACAGTTTTGAAGCTATATCAAAACAGAAAGTATGTAATAGGCAGGATAAAGGTCACATAGGGTTTGAGATTCACTTGTAGTTTTGGAGACAGGATAGGATCTCATTTAGAATGATCAGTCTAATTTATAGCTGTTTCTGCTGAACACCAATGAGACACCTCCCATTGCTGCAAACAGGAATAGGGTCAGATCCAGAGGGAGTTTCGTGTCTTTTCTTCTGGAAATGTGTAATTACTGTCATTAGCCTGTTTGAGGATTAGTGCCTTTGCTTGGGTTCTTCCAAAATTGGAACTGAAGAGGGAGACATCTCACCATGTTCATGTATTTTAATGTCAAATGAGTGAAGGCACTTCAGTGCTTCATTCTTTTAATTGTCTGCCAATTAATTTTCTCAAAGCTGTTACCCTCACCTGTGCAGCTAAAGTTTTGTGCAATTGTGCTTAAAGTTATTCTTTGAACATGGTCAGGTAGGTGGAGGTCAGAATGCTTTCAGTCACTTGTATTGTGTTTGCCCAGAGAAAATAGGGGCTGAAGGTACAGTAAAATTAGAAAGCTGTTGTTTTCTAAATACCATTAAAATTATTTTCATCTTCTTTCAGCCTTTTTTATCCAGACTCTGGCAAACTTTCTGTAGATTGGGTGCTTGAAAATGCCTTTTGCATCACTCCACTAATTCCAGCTATATTTTTTTGGCATGATAAAAGCATATTTGAGGTTATAAAGCAATTATTTTAAATGGCTTTTTAACTTATTTGCTGTGTGTTTCTTTCATCTTAGCAGAGTTGAAGCTGGTGATGACAGACTATTTTGTGCTTTAGTTTGATTTTATCTTTCACCTTTGGGAGAGTGTGACGCTTCTGCATCTTCAAAAGACATTTTTGTGATTCCAGCACCTTGTGTGCTTCTGCAAATGGACTGCTCAAATGCCTCTTCTTCTCTACCCATGCACATGTCCTTGCTGAACAGTAGCAGAGTACTAAGAAATTTACATAAACAACCTGGAATGTGCACAGGGCTCCAAGGCTTGTCAAGTGACATGACCTGCAGCAGTATAGGGGCAGTCTCTTGGCTTCCAAGTGCTCTGCTTCCTTGGAAACCTGCTGTCCCCCTTAGTGTGCCATCAGACTAAGGGCCAAGCAAGGCAGGAGAACCTGCTTCTGTCATCCTTGGATTTCAGGAGCTCAGCAATACGTGGCAGAAAACATACAGGGCACTGCAGTTTGCATCCCTGCTGCACACACCACTCGTTTTGTCACTCTCATACTGAATATGTTGAGAAAGAGCTTGATATCTACCCAGCAAAGGAGAAAAACTACTGAGTTTTACTTCTGGGCCAGTATCTTTCTCTGGCATACCTTTGACCATACACTTCTTGGGATCAGTGACACTTCCTTCTACTTCAATGCTACAAACTACCCAAGGCTGAAGTGGCATTTCCTCCTTGTGTATTCAGTGCCTTGAGAGCAAATAAACCATAAAACCATAAATGAAAGGTGGATGGCACATGGTTGTACTCAAATAGCACAGAGTCCTCTTCTTAAGATGGGAAGTCATTATGTTTGACTGTCAAATGTAGTCAGATGAGCTGGACAACCCAAGTCTGTTGCTCTGAAACCTAGGACTCATGCCAGATGACTTTTCATTTTCACTTCTGTCTGTCATTCAAGATCTTAAATTTTAATGATTCAAAGAAATTTGCGGGTTTGCTAAGCCTTCTGTTAACAAATAGAACAAGTGTATATTTCATTTTCAAAAAGCCAGGATCTGAGTTTGTGCATCAATTGCTGTGGAAGTGATGACACATACAGACTTCTGTTTGCAAACCGAAAGAGATGCACTAATGATCATGTTGCTGCTCTGGTTTTGAGACTCTTCAGAAAAGAGTTGCATGGAGTTTACTTACGCTGCCATAAATTGCAGCTTTGGGAGCGATGAGAGCCTGGTGAGAGGAAGCCCAGCAAATGCATAGCAAATGTGCCTTTTCCCCAGCAGTGTGGTGCTTCTGTGTGGGGAGGCAGTGGTGAAGGAGTTGGGGAGGTGCAAGGAAAGAAGGCAGAGGCTGTGTTTTTTAAGGCAACAGCCTAATGTGCTACACAGGTGCAGAACTCTTATAAAGGAAGAAGTGGAGACTGGAACAATGGAGGTTTGGGGCTGTAGTTTCAATTGAAAACTACCTTGCCTCTTATCACGTGTCACCACAGGACTCGGAATAAAGAGATCTCTAGGATTATGTGGGATACTGCTGATGGCATTTCCAGTTTTGAGGGTTAGAAAGGGAGTTAATAAATCTTATGCCTGTAAAATTTGAAATGAGTGAGTACTAAAGGCAAGTGGTGTAAACCAATGTAAGGCATTTCGGTTGCTCCTTACTAAATCAGATGTGTCTTTGTTGTTTCTTTCTCCACCTGGCACCAGTGGAAGGTGGCTCAAAGGTGTATGACACAGGTGTAAGTGAAGTCAAACAGGCATTGCAGCTATGCAGGCAATCTTAAGCATCTGTTAAGACCTATGGAAAATGTGTTGCAGCATCTTAGAGGATATAAGATGGTTCAAAGACATATAATTTCTATTTCTACATAATACATAATTCAGAGGACTGATAGAGCCTGGGTGTGAAACCATGAAGTTTTGGGTAAACTGAGGCATCAGGACTCAGACCTGGTGGCGTTGTCCCCAGTGATAAATAAGAGGTCCAATTCCTTGTGCTGTTGATGAGATGTCCAAAATACATTGGATGTGCTAGAGCTTTGCATCTCAGTTGGAGAGTCTGCACCTGGCAGAAGGAAGATTGATCTGATGTTGTCTGTTGTGTGCAAAGAGGAGGGAGAGGCAGTAGTGAGGGCAGAGCTCTGCACAGTTTTTATGGGCTGCTGTGAGTAGGGGAAGTCAGTCATTTAAGTTCTAATACATCATATGCATTCCCACTGCCAGTAATAACACAGGATTTTGCTTTAATGGTAGGTGATATTAGAAGTAATTTTCCTGAATAAAATGTTCCATAACATCAAATTACTTACTTTGTGCATGCAGAGTTTTAATCTCTCTTGATTAATGCAAACACAAGTTAACAAAGTTATATTAGGTCCAGATTTTCATCTTGTTAAATACCTACAAATGTACGTGTAGTTTTTCTACTTGCAGTGATTAATGACTTCAGTTCAAGCTTCCTCTAAAAATCTCCACTGGCTTTGCCAATAAGTGTGCATGGGCACATGGCTGTAACGCTTGTGATGACTTAAATCTGTTTCATATTTGTTCAACTAATTAAAAGTTTCTTATGAACTGATGCTGGATTTGAGTTAAGTGTGTTTGCTACCAAAAGCTGAATGTAATGAATTAGAGGTTGGCCGAATTTGCAGTACATTTCATTAACAAACTGTTTGTCTAACCAGGTCTTACTTCTGTAAGGGTAATGTTATGTATAATTTTATACTTCAAATATAATGTCAGAATCATAGAAAACACCATATTTGCTGCAGCTGGAAGGAATTAGGGTTAAAATTGCATGACAGAAACTACTTGTTTATGAATAGAAGAAAGATGGAAAAACTTCAAACTTGTGTTTTATACCTGCTTCAGCCCTTTCCCTAAGCAATTTTGACTATGTAAGGGCTGACTCCTCAGTGCTGCATTAACACCGGACCGTTCTGATGCTGTGTGTCGGTTTCCATTTAGGTGTTACCTGAAAATATTTAAATACCCTAAAGTATTACAGCCACATTTGCAATCTTTACAGTCCCTGGATGTCATGCACTCCGAACAGATGTGTGTTTGCAGGCAGAGGCAGAGCTGTAGCAGCTCTGTTCATTACCTTCTGACAGCTAATGAAAAGCAGGAGAGCTTTTGCTGGTGTTTGGGGTGTTATAGTTGCTGTGAACAGTGGGAACACATCAGGGAGGGAGAGTTAGGTTATGCTATCTTCTTCTTTCAGTCAGCCCCTCTGATAGCTGCTTTCCTTTGCTGTTTTTTTTTCCCTAGGTTAATTCTGTCTTTCTCAATGTCAGCTGCAGCAGTTTGAATATGCAGTGGATTGAAAATGTTTTCAGGATCGTGGCACCTTTATTCTGCATGCTTTTTTTTCCATTCAGTGGGGGAAGCTCTAAGCAGCAGTTACTGGAGCTGTCTGAAAAGAGATTTTGCTTCCCTGTCCCAAATCACAAAATTGGGTTTTAGGAGAAGGATTTAAATAAAATTATAGGGATTTAATAGACATTTAGGAAATCTAAAGCCTATGGGGAATGATGATGATTGGCTGACTTATTACTTATGCAGGTGAAGCCTAATCAGGGTTTTTTTTCTCCCTGCAGTTCTTCCCGTACATCCTTTTACTTGTTGCTATCCTGCTGTATCTACCATGTTTGTTCTGGCGCTTCACTGCAGCACCTCACCTTTCCTCAGACCTGAAATTTATTATGGAGGAACTTGACAAAGCCTACAACAGGGCAATCAAAGCTGCTAATAGCATTCGAAGTGGAGACCCCAGGGATCCTGCTGACTTGATTCCAGCTGCTAATGAGAACTTGACACAGAGGTAAGATGTTGGCTCTTGGCTTTCTCTGCTCTTTTCTTCAAGTTTGTAACAGATGTGATGTCTGTACTCACTTGGAAACTTTTTGCAAAGGTTTGAAAGGTGACCTGACACAATTTTAAGTTTGGTTAAAAAAAAGAAGGTATCTGAAATTATTACATTGGCACTTGGAGATGGAGCTTATAATTTTCTTTTTTCAAAGAAAACATGTAATGAGCTCTTCAGATTGCTTATTACCTGAGATGTTCTGATTTCTTTAGTTGCAGTAGGTGTTAAGTAGTTTTGCCCACCGCGGTGTAAGAAAAGAGATACTTCAGTCCTCAGTTCTGTATTCTTGACAGTCGCTTGAACACTTGTCAAGTTACTTGTCATCTCCTGTTCTTTAAGATAGAGCTTCTGATAAAAAAAAAATTATTAGAAATTATTAGAAAACCCAAACATTAAAACCCACAAAAGCAACCCCCTCTCCTTTTGATCAAGTTGGTGCAGTATTCCAACCAGATCCAGTTCCTGCTTCCTTCTAGGTCAGGGTGCCTGTTTCTCTCTGTATGTGGGAGTACCAGTGGGGACTTGGGTCTCTCCTTTGAAATGTGGAGTTAGGTCTTGACAAATAAAAAGCCTTCTAGTGTTCTATTATTCAACAAGTGCTCGAGAGTCTGCTTTTCCACATGGATTTGCTTGCTGCACCTGTTTTGTACTTGAACAAAAATATTTTGATGCCATGAGTGTGTCTGCTTTTTTTCCATTTCCAATGTTTTAACTGTTTGTTTCTTAAGCAACTTTTCTGTATTAGAGTGTTATTTTTCATTTATCTGTTATTTTATTTGTTTTCTATTAACTTCAATAAAACTACCTTTGATTTTCCTCAGTAAGAGGATGTGGACATGTTGGAGTGGGACAGGAGGAGGATTATCAAGATGATTAGAGGGATGGAATACCTCTCCTACAGATACAGGCTGGGCAATTGGGGTTGTTCAGCCTGAAGAGAAGGTTCCAGGGAGACTTTATAGCAACTTTGAGTACCTAAAAGAGATATTCAAAAAACCAGAGAGGGTGTTTCTAGAGGGGCATGTAGTGGCAGCACAAGGAGGAATGGCTTTAAACTGAAAGATAGTAGGTTTAGATTAGGCATGAGGAAAAATTTCTTTCCTCTTAGGATGGTGAGGTTGGCACAGATTGCGCAGGGAAGTTGTGGATGTCACCACATGTGTCAAAGTGGTCAGGGCCAGGTTAGATGGGGCTTTGAGCAACCTGGGCTAGTGGAAGGTGTCCCTGTCAATGGTGGAGCATGGGGATTGGCTGGAAGTAGATGATGTTTAAAGGACCCTTCTAATGCAAACCAGATTGTGATTCTATGATTTTAAGAAGGTTTCCAATCTTTCATCTCTCTTAGAGTACTAGGTTTTGTTGATATTTGAGGTAGGCAAATGCTACAGCATCTGATCTATATGATTTGATGTTTTTTTTCTCTCTTTTTCAGTTTGTGGGAAATATCTGAAAGCTACTTTAAATACCCAATTGTGGAGCAGTACCTGAAGACAAAAAAGAATTCCAAGTGCTTAATAATTAAATACATTATGTGCCGTTTGCTCACACTAGTAATTACTTTTATTGCATGCCTCTATCTGGGCTACTACATTAGTCTCTCCTCTTTGAGTGATGAGTTTCTCTGCACTATCAAAACTGGGATCCTAAAGAATGACACAACTGTTCCAGAAGTAGTTCAGTGCAAGCTTATTACTGTTGGTGTCTTCAAGGTACTCAGCTATATTAACCTGATAGTCTATCTGATGGTGATGCCACTGGTAGTGTATGCAATGTTTGTTCCATGGAGGTGGAATTCAGGTATTCTCAAAGTGTATGAAATCTTGCCAACTTTCGACGTTCTGAAACTTAAGTCAAAGCATTTTGATGACTTAAGTCTTTACCTCCTCTTTCTTGAGGAAAATGTGAGTGAACTTAAGTCATTTAAATGCCTTAAGGTGCTGGAGAACATTGCAGTTTCTGAGAAGTTTGATGTCATGCAGCTTTTGGTAAACCTTGGTACTATTAAGACTGATACCATAGATGGGAAGCCAGGGAGCGCTGAGTTGGAGAAGCCTGAAGAAACAACTACAGAAGAGCTGGAAAAAGATGCAACAGAGTTACAAGGTAAGCTTATCTAGATGTGTATTCCTACCAAAAACTAATATTCTGTAAGATAATGGACCTGCCTAGTCCTTGCTGTGTTGCCTGCTGTAACCTCAGAAGACTCTGGTGGTGTAAGTCTGTGGCACAGCTAAACTCTGAAGTGTTTGTTAGGTTGGTGGTCCTTGCTGACATCTCTGCTCTGGCACTAAGAGGTTCCAGCTGTTTGAACTTTAACTGCTTAAGACCCCCCTGCACAGTAGGAGAGCTCTAGGGTAGATTGTGCTTGAAGCAGCTCCGGTGAGAAAGCTGGTGATTTCAAGACTTTTTTCAGAAATTGTCTCCAAAGTGTAGTAACTGCTGCTTCTGCTTCTATTTAGGCTTTGGCAGAAGTCTTGGGTGAATATAAAAATAAGTCTGATGCTCAGAAAAGCTGCTGGCAGAGGAACAGAAAATGACAAAAGAAGGGAAGTGGGACTGGGTCAGTGAACACGCTCCTGTTCCCGCTTTCATAAGAGAACAAGGAAGATTGACTGTAAAGAGATTTTTATCAGAATGGTCCGAGACAATCTGTATTGCTGCAACAGTTCTCTGGATTTCCCATGGGTCTGCAGACATGGTTGGCTTAGTAATCACTCATATAGGATAGAGTCTAGGCTCCTGTCCTGAAAAACATGGCATATCTTAATTGTGAAACCAGTTCCTTCCTCAAGTGCAGGATTAGAGAAGCCAAATATCTAGGGAGAGGTATAAACCAGAAGTGATGATGCTTTAAAACATTTAGAAGCTTACCTGAGAACATGAGCACAATGCTGAGGGGAAGTTAAAGAGCTGATTCAGAGGTAGGAAAAGAAGAAATTGATTTTCTCTTCAGAAAGCTATGCCCTGTAGTCAATAAAAAAGAAGCATCAGTACCCAGGGGTTAGCTGTTCCTCTGTACTTGGGTCATGCGGTTGTGGTAGGCTGAAATTTGGAGAAGTTAACTTATACAACAGAATTCAGAACAAAACAAGCAGAATTATTTTTGAACCAGAAGAAGCTGTTTTGGTATCCAGCTCTTGTGCAGCAGCTTGGAGTAATTTTGACGGCATATAGTTTTCCTCTCAAATTTGTCTATTTTTGAAATGGCAGGTGGGTTTAGAAATAAAATATAAGAGCCTGAGGTGGAGGTCTGGGCTCAAGGAGCTGAAAAGGTTAATAGAAAATCTGACTAATTTTTATCTGAAAGCAGAATTTTTGCGATTGTTTTCATCTCACAAAAACACTTCAAAGATTTATTATTGTCCAGATCAGAGCAAAGTCTTTGTGCTTGAAGCTCTGTTAAAAAGCATTGCAGAAAGAAGCTGCTGTGCTTTTGACCAGCTCAGGCTGGTGCAGCCCCTCTCCTCCTGCCTGGGGAGAGCTGCAGGCTCTACCACCCATCAGCAAAGCTTTTCCCACAGCTCATCATCTTTTCCTCTGTCCCCTGTGGCGCCAGGATGTTTTAATTAGGGGCTGTGTTAACAAGGCAGTGGTAGGAGAGCCATGTGCAGGGCAGCCTGGTGCTGGGTGTGGGGACAGCGCAGGACAGCCGGCAGCGCAGCACCGGCGTTCTGCTGACACCAGAAGGTGTCGAGTGGTCTGATGGCCGTTTCTCTTCTAAAACTTTACCTTCTCTTCAGTTCTGACAGAGCGTGATGCAAGTGGCAGTGTGAACACGAGAGAAGACAAGAGACTTCGCCAAAGACTTACAGACTCTTCCTGCTGATGGTTCCCAGCTGCGGGAGCCAGGAGCCCGTTCTGCGGGAAGGCTCCTCCTCTGCCTCTGCTGCGCTCAGTGCAAGCTGCTGCTCTTTGAATGCAACGTTCTCAATCGCCTGAGAGCTCCCCAGAGGCCTAACTGGTTTACAGACTATTTGTTATATAATAATCAGGACTCACGTGCCTGAAAAAGCATGTTGTACACTTCCGCTATTTATTAATAAAAAATCAAACCACACTCAAGGAGGAGCAAGAACAAAACAGTTCTGTCATGACTAGCCATAACCCTGCAGGTAGCAAAAATATATGGCCACATTGCATTGTGAAGTGTTGCTCTGCAGCAGTGGCCATCTCAGTTCTGGGGTTTCAGTAAGGTAACTTTGGGATCTCTGACCTGGAAAAGACGGGGCTGGGGATGGGGTTTTGTAATGCCTCTGGTTAATCTGTCCCAGATGGTGGCTGCCAGTGATGCTGGCTGTGTCTTCATGGGAAAAATAGAGGTTGCCCTGTTCAGCCTGAGATGTCTCGGTTAGTCATCCCAACATTCATGTCTGCGATTAAGTACTTGACGGTGGAAAAGAAACTACAGACAGTTTCAGTGTTAAGAAGGTACTGTAAATCTTAGGGAATTTTGAATTTTCTATGTATTAATAAATTAATGTCTTAACACTTTTTTTACAAAATGTAATGATGTTAAGCTAAGTGTTGGTTTCATTTCTATCTCTCAGTTGTTTTGATCTTAGTGTCTAACAAATCTGCCTTGGAGTTTTGGACTGAGGATCAGTGAAGTCTATTTTTGTAATGGTTTGTCAAAGTTGTTTTGTAGTGTTTTTATATGTAGAATTTTTCTCAACATCTTTGTAGTATCAAATACAATATTAGTTGTGCTGTTTTCCAAACCGCACTTGAAAAGACAAACTAACTTGTATTAAAGTAGCACCCAAATGCCTCAGCAGAGCCAAGCACCCGACAGCCAAGGTGAAGTAGATGTAAATACTATGAAAGGTTGTTCTCCCCTGCACACATTGTGACTGTATTTTAATTAACGATGTTGAAGTGTAATGGAACAGACAAAATAAGGGGGAGTTTGTTACTGGAACATTTGGGGAGAGTAGAATTCAGCTTTAATGTTGTCCCTTCTGCCCAAGACCTCAGCCTTCACTGAGTATTAAAAAGACCTTTTGTCTTGAAATATTAGATGCAAGGTGAGGTGGATGGGGGGTGAAGCACCACAGTGGCAGTGTATATCTTTCGCAAATGTGATACACTGATTTATTTTTCAGTGTGTTCCATGTAAGTGAAATGACTTACCTGTCACCTCTTCCAAGTCAGCTTTTGGAACAAAGGAGGACTTCTTTTATGGCTATGTAGGACTTCCAGTTTCCAGTTCCTTAGTGTCACCCAATTTTGTGTTCTCGTCTGTTAGCATTCTCCATATGGTTGTGGACAAGGGACAGAGAGGAGTAATTTGTGTTACCATTTTTGCACAGAACTCTTTATGTGCTGCAGCAAATTTCAGAGATTGTGCCCAAACTTGAATCCAGCAGCTGCTGTTGAACAAGCAGATCTGAAAATGCTGCTGTGCTACACTTAGGGCTAGTATTACAAGAAGTCTTCAGTCTTCTTACAGCTTTCGACTAAGGCAAGCCTGATTTTAAAAGAAGCCTTTAAAGCCATAGTTTTAATGCTACCTCTGCAGAGGAGAGCAGCACAGCTGCAGTCCTAGTGTCTGTTGTATTACCAGCACGAAACAGGGTTTATGTTGGACCCTGGTGGTCCACAGTGCTGAATTTTACTGCCATACTTCTGCCACCAAGCCTACGATCCCTTTGACCTTTCCTAGATTCTGTCTGGCTGTGCTGATGTGTTGCTGATGGTCCTTTGTATGTAGGCAGTGCAGGTGCACATTGTGCATTGTATGTCTTGGACAAGGAGCTATAGTGCAATACTAAGGTTTTGTGAAGTGGATGTGTTTGAACTGTTTAATGTAAGTAGAGTTCTCGGTCTTTAAAAATTCAAAGCTCCTGAAAGCCACATGTTCATGTTTCATGTTGGATATGTACCTAACTTTTTACTAATTTCCCTTTTGTATTTAAAAATACAATTTACTGCAGTGAATCTGTTGTTGTCTTCTAAAGTGTTTAATAAAATGCCTATCAATCCTCCCTGATTATTAAAATAAAACAAATTTTGTGAACTACAACAGCATTGGTGTCCAAAGGGTCCAGGAACAGTCACACGTTGCCATAATGCAAATACATGTGGTCTGATGCTAAACACTGAGAAAACATTTTGGACAGTTGCTATAATTCTGCTCTTTTAATTTTCAGCTCTATCTCCCTCTTTTAAGATGTGTTTCTGAACTGCCTAGCTCAGTTCTACTTACGTTTTAGTGGCACTGCTCCTGCTGTGTTTTGCCATTTTCAAAAGATGGGCTGAATTCCAATTTATGCCTTATGGAAAACAGTCCATCTTCAGCTTCTTCATCACTACACTCTAGAAACAGCTACGTCCATCTGTTCTCCTTCAAATATTCCAAAAAGTAAAATGACAGTGTCAGGGTTCAGGTTTGGTCCGTGCCATTCCCTCTTGCCCCTTTTCTCTCCACCACTTGAGTATTAATAATCCTCTAAATGCAGGAGAGTTGCAGCTAGTTCCTCTGCACACGCTTTTCCTTACAGTGGCTCATGTGAGAGTTAAAACTTGTGGTTTAAACTGCAGAGAGCAAGTAAAAATGTTTATTCCATTAGCAAATGGTGTGGCTCTAAAAGCAGCTGTACCCTGCTGTTTTTCTCCCTCTGGGTGTTGTCATTAACTTGTAGAATAAAGATTTTTATTTTTCTTTGTCCATTTCTTTTTCCTTATTGGGAACAGTGGATGTTTTAGTAGCAGCTTTGATGACCAGTTTAGTGCCTAAGCCATTAACAAAGTTTAGTGCCTAACTCCATTAACAAAGAATGTTGTGACTGCACATTGTGAACAGACAGACCTTGGGTTGTGAGTGGTTTTCTGAAGATGCAGATGGTGAGAGGGATTTAACCCCCAGCAAGCACAAGTGAGTTTGTCACGGAAGGGGGGAGGAATCAAAGCTATGTCATTGGAATAAACTTTTCTAGAAATCTTCTTTGAGCACCACTTTGCACAGACCACGTGAGAGTGGCACAAATGAAGACCTAGCTGTAGGTTTGGGGCAGTTTGTGTGTTTCTGGCATGCAGGCTGTGTGGCCAGAAGCTGCAGAAGAGTGCTTCCTTCATAATGGAATATTTGACTTAATATACTAAATTATTAGTGTAATGCTAAAAAGTAATTACTACTATTAAACATTTAAAAAGTATATTTCTCAAGGGACACAATGTAATGAAAATATTATGACTTTATATCATTAACTATTCAAACATCTATTTGGTTCATGTCATGTTATCAATCCTCCCCTGAAGGACTGCAACAAAGAACTCATAACATTGTTTAATCTTTTTAGGTAGTAAAATTTGCATCTTCTTTTTTGTTTATTCAGATTCTTTGATGTGAGTCATCTCAAACTTTTTATAATCGTTGAGATTAACCAAACAACTTCATGCAAACAACATTCCTGGCCTATGAATGAACTCCCACCCAACCCAGGGGCTGCTGAGTTAGTCCCCTTAAGTAAGATTCTTGATTCCCCACACAGTCCAGGGAAAGTGTTAGATGCCTGTGGAGGTATTTGAATGGGTAAGCAGTCCAGGGATGAAAAACAGCCTGGGCTCACTCTGCTTGTGCTACCTTTGAATTGCTTTAGCTCTTGTGTTACACAAACTTCATGTACCTAAACCAACAGCAGTGAAATTTCCCAACCAGTAACAAAAGAACCGGGGGCTTTGTTTGCTTTTTTCCCTCTTATTTGAGTTCAGTTGGGATGAGAAAAATAAGTGCTGCTGCACAGCTCAAAACAAGGCCCCTCTGCTGGGAATGTGAGCTGCAGGATGAGAAACAGAGCCTAAGGCTACTGTCGGCTTGTCTTGGAATGTGGTTGCACTGCTGAACAGGAATGCCAGGGAAAAAGCTCAAGGGTTTGGTCCTTGCTGTCCCCCTTGTTGAAGTGTCAGATCCTTCCTGACCTCTGTCTCAGGACTTCAAGACAAATTACGGGCAAATAGTTCACTTCTGGAGCAACTTCCATAAATCACTAGAGATGAGACCATAACAGTTTGCTTATCACCACCCTACATGTCCCTCCAACATATCCCACCAAGTTTTGTACCTTCAGAGGCTGATGACGTGCTTTTAGAACATCTGATACATGTCCTTAACTTCATATTATTAAAAACTGGTGACCTCTGACAGGCCTGTCACATCATAGTGTTTTTAACTGAAAAAACGCCTACCAAAATATGTAATTATGTCTTAAAATCCTTATATCCCTGTGACCTTAGGGGATAAGAGTCAAGCACTGTGTACCACCATATGTCTGGTCTGCTCTCAATGGACCTAACCCTACATGTTGTGGAAATAAGTGAGCCGACACCTTAGAGCTGAGAAACATTTGTTAGACCTTCAGATATTTCATTGGTGTCCTGGATTCATCTGGGATACACTTACTTGTTTCTTAGCAGCTGGCACAATGCTGTGTTTTGGACTCAGTACGAAAATAATATTGATATTATAATATTGTTATAATATTGATATTATATTTATTGATATATACAGTGATGTTTTGGTTGTTGCTGATCAGTGCTTACCCTCAGCCAAGCACTTTTCAGTTTCCCAAGCTCTGCCAAGGAGCAGGTGCACAACAAGCTGGCAGGAGACATGAACAGCTAACTCAAAGTGGCCAGAGGGATAATCCACGCTCAGTTTATAAACTGTGGCGGTTGGGCAGGAGGTGCTGATTTGTTTTGTAAATAAAGGCAGTTTTTTTCCTGGCCAGGACATTGTGATGATGGCTGGGTTCACCTCCGCCTCTATCGTTAAATGGCTTTGAGCCTAAGGCAAGAGGTGGGAAGTTTCATCGCACCAGGACTCAGAAATCTCTTCAAACTTGCAAGCCAGAGGACAGGCTATGGGGGACATTATACCCAGAAGAAAAAAGGATATGCCAAAGAATTTCCCAGTTTCTTTAATGCCTGTCCAGATCTTCTCCCAAGCCAACTGTGCCACCCTCAGGAAGGAGCAGGGACTGCCCTCCTGTTGGTCTGTGCAGGATGGGGAGAGCAGAGGAGGATCCCATCATCATTCTCCTTCCGTGGCACAAGAAAGATCAGTAATAATAAAAATATTCAATAAGAGAGCAAACC